GAGCCTTAAAGTGTCAGTTTGAATAGCAGTAAAAGTGCAACAGCTCTTAGTCTGTGACCTTTTGCTCCAAAATCTTATGAATAAAGGTCTCTAGAATCCATAGATTGGTAGTATATAAAAATAAGTTATATAGTATATAAAATTGTCGTCATCATCATCATGCAAAGCATTTAAAGGCTGCCTTTCTATCTAGATGGATCATCAGCTTCACAGCATTTACTCCTGGTCGATTAGGGATAGATAGAAGGTTGTCCGGACAAATGCCATTTGTAGGAGTCACCATATAAATTGGTTCATCACAGCCTTTCCTAATCTGATGTATAGCATTTCAGTGCCAGTGATCCCCAGCTAGTGTTGGTCACTGGCCACATATATCAGTGTATCTGAGCCCCGCTGTCCATACACTCACAGGTATTTCAGTGTTTGTGGGTCTAGATGAGGAAACCTTCTGTGAGGAAGAACATAGAATCATAGAATCATAGAATCAAAGAGTTGGAAGAGACCTCATGGGCCATCCAGTCCAACCCCATCTGCCAAGAAGCAGGAATATTGCATTCAAATCACCCCTGACAGATGGCCATCTAGCCTCTGTTTAAAAGCTTCCAAAGAAGGAGCCTCCACCACACTCCGGGGCAGAGAGTTCCACTGCTGAACGGCTCTCACAGTCAGGAAGTTCTTCCTCATGTTCAGATGGAATCTCCTCTCTTGTAGTTTGAAGCCATTGTTCCATTGCGTCCTAGTCTCCAGGGAAGCAGAAAACAAGCTTGCTCCCTCCTCCCTGTGGCTTCCTCTCACATATTTATACATGGCTATCATATCTCCTCTCAGCCTTCTCTTCTTCAAGCTAAACATGCCCAGCTCCTTAAGCCGCTCCTCATAGGGCTTGTTCTCCAGACCCTTGATCATTTGAGTCGCCCTCCTCTGGACACATTCCAGCTTGTCAATATCTCTCTTGAATTGTGGTGCCCAGAATTGGACACAATATTCCAGTGTGGTCTAACCAAAGCAGAATAGAGGGGTAGCATGACTTCCCTAGATCTAGACTCTATGCTCCTATTGATGCAGGCCAATCTGCCCTCCATATCCACGGATTTTATATTTCAACCATCCACAGCTTGAAAATATTAACAATCCCATTTAGCACAGTGGTTCTCAACCTTCCTAATGCCATGACCCCATAACACAGTCCCTCATGTTGTGCTGACCCCCAACCATAACATTATTTCGTTGCTACTTCATAACTGTAATTTTGCTACTGTTATGAATTATCATGTAAATATCTGATATGCAGGATGTATTTTCATTCACTGGACCAAATTTGGTGCAAATACCTGATACACCCAAATTTGAATGCTGGTTGGGGGATTGATTTTGTCATTTGGGAGTTGTAGTTGCTGGGATTTATAGTTCACCTACAATCAAAGAGCATTCTGAACGCCACCAATGATGGAATTGAACCAAACTTGGTACACAGAACTCCCATGACCAACAGAAAATACTGGAAGGGTTTGGTGGGCATTGACCTTGAGTTTGGAGTTGTAGTTCACCTACATCCAGAGAGCACTGTGGACTCAAACAATGATGGATCTGGACCAAACTTGGAACAAATACTCAATATGCCCAAATGTGAACACTGGTGGAGTTTGGGGAAAATAGACCTTGACATTTGGGAGTTGTAGTTGCTGGGATTTATAGTTCACCTACAATCAAAGAGCATTCTGAACTCCACCAATGATGGAATTGAATCAAACTTGGCACACAGAGCTCCCATGAGCAACAGAAAATGCTGGAAGAGTTTAGTGGGCATTGACCTTGAGATTTGGAGTTGTAGTTCACCTACATCCAGAGAGCACTGTGGACTCAAACAATGATGGATGTGGACCAAACTTGGCACGAGTACTCAATATGCCCAAATGCAAACACTGGTGGAGTTTGGGGGAAATAGACCTTGACATTTGGAAGTTGTAGTTGCTGGGATTTATAGTTCACCTACAATCAAAGAGCATTCTGAACTCCACCAATGATGGAATTGAACCAAACTTGGCACACAGAACTCCCATGAGTAACAGAAAATGCTGGAAGAGTTTGGTGGGCATTGACCTTGAGATTTGGAGTTATAGTTCACTTACATCCAGAGAGCACTGTGGACTCAAACAATGATGGATCTGGACCAAACTTGGCACAAGTACTCAATATGCCCAAATATGAACACTGGTGGACTTTGGGGGAAATAGACCTTGACATTTGGAAGTTGTAGTTGCTGGGATTTATAGTTCACCTACAATCAAAGAGCGTTATGAACTCCACCAATCATAGAATTGGGCCAAACTCCTCACACAGAACCCTCATGACCAACAGAAAATACTGTGTTTTCTGATGGTCTTTGGTGACCCCTTTGGTGACCCCCCAGGTTGAGAAACACTGGCAAATTTTGATTTTGCTATTTTATATAAGAAATACCTTATGCCATTGTATATAACAGAGCCCTGGATCCAAACCACGGATGAACTCAAAGGCCTATTGTCCTTTCCTCCTGGCTCAGCCTACCTCATAAGATTGTTGTGCAGATAAAACAAAGGAAAACGCCAAGCATGCCCCGCTCTGAGTCCCATGAAGCAAAATCAGGATACAGATGTGGTTATTCGATTTGATTTGATCTACTATGTAGACTATTGCAATCGATGTTGGAATCTCTTCTTTCCCTCCGACACCAGCTAGACTCCAGTTTTGTCTTAGGTTGCCTCTCAAGCCATTCCAACTTGGGGAAGACAACCTCATTAGCTGCCCTGAACCTGACAGCTGCACCATTGAGCCCCACTTGCCCCTGCGCACAACCTCACAAGGATCATGCTGGAAAACAGAGGCACGAAATGCTCAAGGGGAGACAGCTGCACATCCTCCAGACTCCGGCATTCATATTCCTACAATGACGGATGAAACTTCAAGTAGACAACATGGTGGGCTTCAATCACCCATCGGCTTCCCCTCCCCTGCTTTGCTTCACCAGGCCTGGACATGGCACAACTGTGCCTTTCGGTCCATGGTACACTCACAAGCACACAGCCATACAGAGACGCAAATATTGCACGCTTCTTCCAAACTGCCATGCCTATATCTACATGAAGGAGGAACTGGTTATGATGCCTAGAATGGGTTCATTTTAACCAGACACACACCATGCCCTGGGATAAGCTGGCTTGCATTTTAGCATGGGAATGTGTGATAACTGAAAAGCAGGGCAAAGGAACAGCTATTCCAAGGAGTCAACAGGAGGAAGAGGGGGGCATGTAACTGTTTCAAAGCATGCAGAGAAGACATTGCTTCCGCCAATGGCATAAGTAATTGTGTGCAATTAAGTTACCATAGAATCATAGAATCAAAGAGTTGGAAGAGACCTCATGGGCCATCCAGTCCAATCCCATTCTGCCAAGAAGCAGGAATATTGCATTCAAATCACCCCTGACAGATGGCCACCCAGCCTTTGTTTAAAAGCTTCCAAAGAAGGAGCCTCCACCACACTCCGGGGCAGAGAGTTCCACTGCTGAACGGCTCTCACAGTCAGGAAGTTCTTCCTCATGTTCAGATGGAATCTCCTCTCTTGTAGTTTGAAGCCATTGTTTCGCGTCCTAGTCTCCAAGGGAGCAGAAAACAAGCTTGCTCCCTCCTCCCTGTGGCTTCCTCTCACATATTTATACATGGCTATCATATCTCCTCTCAGCCTTCTCTTCTTCAGGCTAAACATGCCCAGCTCCTTAAGCCGCTCCTCCTCATAGGGCTTGTTCTCCAGACCCTTGATCATTTTAGTCGCCCTCCTCTGGACACATTCCAGCTTGTCAATCTCTCTTTTGAATTGTGGTGCCCAGAATTGGACACAATATTCCAGGTGTGGTCTAACCAAGGCAGAATAGAGCATGGGGAGCATTACTTCCCAACTCATATTCTTTCCCTGGAACTTCTTGCAAGTGCAATGGTCTTTGTGAAATGGCAGGAAAAATGGAAAACACTCCCCACTCTCACTTCCACTGGCACAAAAGTCCTTAACAGCAAGCTGAATAACTCGTCTAGGAAGAATACAGACGAATACCGCGATTCAGAGCATGCTAACTGGTTGAGTGAAATAATGATGGGATTTCTATCCTGGTAATGTTCAACTTGTCAGAGCCATAGGTTTTAAGATAATGTTTTCCCAATGGATTAGAAAAAAAAGCATTTAGGATTTTGGATGTTCCAATCCGACCAAGCGACACCCTCTGCTCCCTACTCAGAAAATACAAACAGCCCCAGAGACACTCTTGGAAGTGGTGATTATATCCAGCCCTAGCCGACCCTTCAAGCCAGATGAAACGGAGGACCCTAATTATGTTTCACGGTGGGTCTCAGGTTGTTTATTTCTCTGCCAAAGCACCTTTTTCTCAAAGGACGAGAGTGACCTCTCTCACCCAAACAAGGAACAGCGAGGAGGCGTTTGGGGCACATCCTTCGAAAACACTTGACACTGATGAGCTGGCACTTAACCCTCCTTTGGAGACACACAGGGACACTCTTTGCCCACACAATCAGGGCAGCCAAAGGGCCATAAGAGAGTGGCTTTCCCCCCTTGGATCCTTTCAAGGCACGTTGCACAGGATGGGCAGAATATTCAGGAAACGCAAAAGCAGCAGAAACAACCTGAAGTAGTTCTGCTGGATTCGTGATTGGGAACAACAAAAACAACAAAAAAAAAAGCACTGCTTTGCACATGCCAGTGTGCAAACTTGCCCTTTTGGTCCCCCAACTTGAATCCCTTAAATGTATAGGTTTGCCCTTAGGGGTCAATCTCCCTTCCAGCAGAGACACACCCAGAGCTGACCCACAACAAAAGCTCTCTTTCTCTCTGGTCTTCGAACCCAATGCACCAGAGAGCATGCATCAATGCATCACCAACAAGACACCGACACTGATAAAACTCAGGTGTGGAAAAGTCACTCCTGAGCAAACCTTGACATCTCTGCTCCACTCACCTGTCAGGATCAGGGTCAGAAGATAGAAGATCCCCTTCATGGTGGATTATATCCCAGGGTCAGTCTTCCAGTGTTTCAAAGCTTGGGCTGGTGGAAAGGGCAGTTCGCGACCCTTGCTCTTTCAATCCCAAATGCCAAAAGAAGATTCCCCGGTGGTTTCTGGGCTCCAGCCTTGGTCCTGATGTGGTAAAAGCATTGCTGCCGACTGACAGAGCCCCTTCGATCTGGCCAAGCTGGCTCAAGAAGGACCGGCCGGGCTTCTCCTGCCCTTCATCCCTTGCTAACTTCAAGATCAAGTCCAGCAAGTGGGTCCCTTCTCGTTCCCCCTTTGCAAACTTCTCGCAGAAAGGGAGATGGCTCGACCATTCACGACAGAGGTGGGAAGCCTCCTCCCTGCTGTGAAGTCAGCAAAAGTTAACCTCCAGGGCACCCACGGTCCATCTTTAGAGAATGTATCCCGGCTGGGAAAAGGCCAGAGGTTTCCCGAGAGCATGCACTGGCGGCGTTCTCCTTCCAGCTCCCTCTCGCTTTCTGCCTGCCTCTTTCCTAGATGCTGCTTCTCTCTGCCTGGTCAGGGAACAGCTGGAGTATTCTTAAAGGGACAGGAGCAGCCAAGCTTTCCAAAGGGACAAGGAGCTTGCCGGTGGACCTCCTCTCTCCCCGCAACACCTGCTTGCAACTCCGCAGACCTTTCTGCCTCTTTCCAACCAGCATTTGTCCTGAAACAATAGGAAGGTGGAATAATCGGCAACACAGAGAAAGACGGAAAAGTTCAAGAGCCCTGCTGCTGTTGTGGTTGGAGAGGAGGGGATGGGTTTGCCGGAGTGGAATTTTTCACCCATTGTACACACAATTGCTGCTGGTTGCAAACGATAACGTGAGAGATTCAGAAATGGTTCTGGGTGCATTTCCACATCATGTAGCTCAGTAGAGAGGTGTCTTCTTTCCCTGGATGTCCAAGGTTGATTCAAACTAAAAGGAAAAACAAGAAGGAAGGTGCCATAGACTGGCAGGTGTACAAACCATGATTTTTTTGCACACAAAATTCTCTTGATTTGCAGGTGCCTTTATATCATCTGAACCTGACTATATGTTCCTCTCCTTAGCAATAGACATTGCCAGTGGGTTGTTGTAGGTTTTTTTGGGCTGTATGGCCATAGTCTAGAGGCATTCTCTCCTGACGTTTCGCCTGCACTCAGGAGAGAATGCCTCCAGAGCATGGCCATACAGCCCGAAAAAACCTACTACAACAACCCAGTGATTCCGGCCATGAAAGCCTTCGACAAGTCATTGCCAGGTTACAATACAACAAGGAACTCCTTCTCTTTCCAGTTTCTCTTCTAGCCTTTAGGTCAGTGTTTCTCAACCTTCCTAATGCCACGACCCCTTAATATAGGTCCTCATGTGGTGTGACCCCCAACCATAACATTATTTTCATTGCTACTTCATAACTAATTTTGCTACTGTTATTAATCGTAATGTAAATACCTGAAATGCAGGATAGATTTTCATTCACTGGACCAAATTTGACACGAATACCTGATATGCCCAAATTAACTGTAATTTTGCCACTGTTATTAATCGTAATGTAAATACCTGATATGCAGGATGGATTTTCATTCACTGGACCAAATTTGGCACAAATGCCCAATGCATCCAAATTTGAATACTGGTCGATTTGGATTGATTTTTGTCATTTGGGTGCTGTAGTTACTGGGATTTATAGTTCCCCTGCAATCAAAGAGCACCCTGAACTCCACCAATGATGGAATTGAAGTAAACTTGGCACACAGAACTCCCATGAGCAGCAGAAAATACTGGAAAGGTTTGGTGGGAATTGACCTTGAGTTTTGGAGTTGTAGTTCACCTACATCCAGAGAACACTGTGATAGATCTGGACCAAACTTGGCACATATACTCAATATGCCCAAATGTGAACACTGGTGGAGTTTGGAGAAAATAGACCTTGACATTTGGGAGTAGGCGTTACTGGGAGTTATAGTTCACTTACAATCAAAGAGCATTCTGAACTCCACCAATGATGGAATTGAAGTAAACTTGGCACACAGAACTCCCAGGAGCAACATAAAATACTCGAAGGGTTTGGTGGGCATTAACCTTGAGTTTGGGAGCTATAGTTCATCCAGAGAGCACTGTGGATTCAAACCATCATGGATCTGGATCAAACTTGGCACAAATACTTAATGAGTTCGAATGTAAACACTGGTGCAGCTTGGGTAAAATAGACTTTGACATTTGGGAGTTGTAGTTGCTGGGATTTATAGTTCACCTACAGTCACAGCAGGAGAAGGGATTTTGGTGGAAGGATTCACCTTCTGTTTCCAAAAAGAAAGAGAAGGACAGTGGAGAGATCTTCAACCTTCTATGAACAAAGGGGTTCCTAAGACCATCAAAAATATGTGTTTTCTGCTGGTCTTTGACGACCCCTCTCAAGCCCCCCTTCCCAGGGGTCCCGACCCCCAGGTTGAGAAGTGCTGCTTTAGGTGCTTTTTCAAGATTTTGGCTTTTATCACTGTTAATTCTTGTTTTTGGTTTTTTTTTCTTTTAACCTCTGCACTTTTCCAACCTCTTTATCAAAACAGAGATTGACAAATCCGTGAAGTCTGAAAAGGAGCACTCTAACTGTTCAAATAATTCCAGTTTTTGAATGTGTGCAAAAGAGGAATTCAGAACATTTCTTCTATAGGTGTTGATTTAGCATTGCCATTGGATACTGTGCAGCTGGAAAGAAATAAACAAAATAGATTGTGAACCTCTGATTGGGAACTTCTCTTTGTAACACAGAGAAGAAGTAGTTCTCCTCCTTGCCCTTGTCTCCCTGGGCCTTTGGGGACTCCATGGCCCCAGTTGTGGCATGTGGCTGCGTTCAATTACCCACGGCTACATTCAATTAGTGACCAGCCTACGCGGTTTGAATTGCAAGCGGAAAGACTAGCAGCCGCTTAATTCCCCCAATTTTAGCTGAATCATGCCCCCATAGTTCTCTAAAAATAGCAGAGACACCAGGTTCTCTTGGCTGTACCCTATAATTTGAGCACCGGCCACACAATGGAAATGCCATTCAAGAGTGACACCAGCCATTCTCTCTGCAATTGCTCATAGCCGAGAACGAAGGAACCGTGGTCTATGAAAATTGTAGAAGCACATGTTGGGAAAAGATTGCAAGGGCCATCTAGTCCAAACTCCTGCTTGTGTAGGTGGTGTTGTTCACAGAGTTGGAAGAAACCACAAGGTGACCCTAAGGTGAAGCTACCATGAGTTTCCTGAGACTACATGAGCATCTACACCAATGGTTCTCAACCTTCCTAATGCCGTGACCCCTTAATACAGTTCCTTATGTTGTGGTGACCCCCAACCATAACATTATTTTCATTGCTACTTCACAACTATAATTTTGCTCCTGTTCTGAATCATCTTGTAAATATCCAATATGCATGATGTATTTTCATTCATTTGGCACAAATACTCGATACGCCCAAATTTGAATACTGGTGGGGTTGAGGGGAGGATTGCTTTTGTCATTTGGGAGTTGTAGTTGCTGGGATTTATAGTTCACCTACAATATCAAAGAGCATTCTGAACTCCACCAATGAGGCAATTGAACCAAACTTGGGACGCAGAGCTCCCATGACCAACAACAAATTCTGTGGTGGGCATTGACCTTGGGTTTTGGAGTTATAGTTTACCTACATCCAGAGAGCACTAATGCATCTGGACCAAACTTGGCATGAATACTCAATGTGACCAAATGTGGACACTGGTGCAGTTTGGGGAAGATAGACCTTGACATTTGGGAGTTGAAGTGGCTGGGATTTATAGTTCACCTATAATCAAAGGCATTCTGAACTCCACCAATGATAGAATTGGGCCAAACTTCCCACACGGAACCCCCGCGACCAACAGAAAATACTGTGTTTTCTAATTGTCTTTGGCGACCCCTCTGACACCCCCTCGCGAGGGGTCCCAACCCCCAGGTTGAGAAACACTGATCTACACCTACTGAATAAATCATAGAATCATAGAACCATAGAGTTGGAGGAGACCACATGAGTAATCCAGTCCAACCCCCTTCTGTCATGCAGGTAAAGCACAATCCAAGCACCCCCAACAGATGGCCCTCTAGCCTCTGTTTAAAAGCCTTCAAGGAAAGAGCCCCCACACAACAAGGCAGAGAGTTCCACTGCTGAACAGTTTCCACTATCAGGAAACCCTTCCTCATGTTCAGGTGGAATCTCCTTACCTGTAATTTGATCCATTGCTCCAAGTCCTAGTCTCCAGGGCAACAGAACACCAATCTCCTCCCTCTTTCTTATGACAGCCTTTCAGATATTTGAACACGGCAATCATGCCTCCTCTCAACCTTCTCTTCTGGAGGTTAAATATCCATAGCTCTTTAAATCACTCCTCATAGGGATTCATGGTCTCCAGACCTTTGATCCCTTTAGTCGTCCTCCTTGATATACCTTCCATCTTAGAATTAATATCTCCTCTAAACTGTTATACCTAGAATTGGACACAGGTTATTTTTAATCATGTCAGAAGCGACTTGATAAACTGCAAGTCGCTGCTGGTGAGAGAGAATTGACCACCTGCAGAGACATTGCCAAGGGGACGCCCGGTATGTTACCATCCTGACGGAGGCTTCTCTCATGTCCCTGCATGGGAAGCTGGAGCTGACAGAAGGGAGCTCACCTTGTCTCATGTATTTTGTGCCATCACGCCTGGGGGCTATTATTCTCAATAAAGGAGGGATGGACGTGGCATCTTTCCCTCAGGGGATTGCTTCTTTCCCTCCTATAGGAAACTGGAACTCCCAAAAACCCAAAACGCTGTAAATAGTAGGCCTGGGTAACAACGGAAAAATTTGTTTCTAAAATCGATTTGTATTTGGGTTTTTTTTTGTTTCGATATTTAAAATAATTACAAAATTTTCCTTTTAAAAAGTTCGATATTTACGAAATTTCGTAAATGGTAAAAAATTAACGAATCGATTTCCGAAACAATAACGAATCGATTCGTTAATGGCGGACGCGACCGCGAAATACGCTAAAAAACCTCCAAAACCTTCTGAAGCTTCCCTCTCCCTCTGTTGTTGACTGTTGGTGTGATATTATAATTTTTTTTAACTAATTAAACCATAAAACTGGCCCAGACATGCGGAAATAATAACGAAACGACCTAAAAACAATAACGAAACGAATACAATATCGAAATACGAAGCATTTACAAAACGTTTTTGAAAATTCGTTTTTTTAAATAATTGCTCCAGAATGGTTCGTTATCGTTTTGTAATTGAAAAAATTAACGAATTATTAACGAATTACGAATTAACGAAACGAAACCGCCCAGCCCTAGTAAATAGCTCAAAATAAGTTTTATTTATCACAAAGTCATTTCTTCAAAGCAATGAGCTGGAAAACTTTAGAGGGGTGAAGGAAAACATACATTACAGTCTCAATTAGTCCTGGGTCCAAGGGGTTTGAAGCTGAGAAGCCTCACCAAGTTTCCTCTTTCCTCAATGGCTGTGAATGCCGGAGCAAACCACAACCCCAGTTCAGATGGCCTATGTTTTGAAGATTTAGGATCTTCCTTTGGTGCCAAAAGAACCGGCTTGAAGGCACCTGGGTCTCCTCAATAATTGTCCAGGACGATCTGGACATAA